TTTTTATAAGGCATAGTTTGGCGTTATCAACAACCAACACTTTCCTTCAAAGGTGAGTGAGGGGGAGTGCAACTTCAATCCCGGTACAACCCACACTACCTCTTTGTCTGGTGCACAGATAGCTTGGAAAAACAATTACCAATTTGTGGGTTCTCACTTGTAAGTATCATAGTAATCCACTGCCTCAGTAAATGCAGGCAAGCGATACACTCTCCTGATCGCTTCAATCGAGGCATTCACCCTCTTTTGTCGCACAATGCAGATGTGATCCTCATGTTCAGAGCAGTTGGCACAGAATTCCCTAACAAGCATTAAGTTACCGTCCTCCGGCTCTTCGAAAAAGATGTCTAGTCTGCGCCTCATCAACTCCCTATACATATTAGGGCATTCAGCTTGGAGGGAACCCTTGTCAACACCCCTTTTCTGGGACATGCTTTCTAATAGCCTTCCAAGTGAAACGATCTTGGGCAGCTCTGGAGACAAACCGGGTGCTATCAAACTAAGCTGAACTGGCTGACGCCCGTGCCTGGGACGAGCCACCAGTAGTGCGTCTCTTCTTGGAAGATCTCATGGTACCTACATAACAAACACCATTATCAATAATCGGCGGAATAGGTGAACCAAGGGCGGTTACTCGGACTTCACACTCGCACCATTGGTCACAATTTATACGAAAAAGCTCATTGTGGCAATTCAACAAACACCTACTGTGCATATGCCCCCAATATATCCCAAAGACCCAATTAAACTTCATTCTTCACAATTCAACAATGTCTTCCCAACCCAACCAACCTAATGTCCTCACATACCAACATATATACCAACAACCAAAACAAAGATAAGAACACCCATATTTCTACTTTCCTATACTTACAATAAAAGAGAAAAGAATTAAAAAGAAAAAAATTGAAAAAAAAAAATAAAACAAAAAAAACTAAAAGAAGAAAGTAGGAGCATGTACTTACTTGAGAATCTTGTGAGGAGTGGGGCTTGGGTAGTGGTAGAGTAGAGAAGATGGAGAAGGAGAGGAGATTTGGTGAAGTGAAAAAAATTGGGGAGAAGACGGGGGAGGGTTTCGTTGGTTTGATTTGGGGAAGGGGGAGGGTGTGAGATGCGAAACTGTTGAAAGGGGAGGGGAAAAGAAAGAGGGGGTGAGCAGATGAGGGGGGAGTTTAATTGAAAAAAACTAATTACAAAGGGAACAAGAGAAAAGAAAAGAAAAATAAAAAATAAAAAAAATTATTCGACTGAACCTGAACAGCGCCAGATCCGCGGCCGCGGAGAGAAGTTCTGCAAACTCCGCGGTCAATCCACGGTTAGATCATCCAGAATTTTTTTTTCTTTTTCGTACTTTTGCCTATCTCCGGGATAATTTTGTCACCCCGAGTCTTTCAGCTGCGCATACCTTCGTTCCTCCACCTTAGTAGATTGATCAATATTGTCACCGTATAAATACTAATTACAAAAAATAAGATCAAAGAAAAAAAATTGATGGGTTGCCTCCCAACAAGCGCCTAATTTAACGTCGTGGCACGACGATTTACGACAAACCATGGGTTGCATCCCAGGAAGCGCCTGATTTAACGTCGCGGCACGACACAAGCTTCCATTATTGCTCTTCGCTCATATATTAGGGCTCTTCCAAATATATCACCACTCTATCCCCCTTTTCTTCGACCATTCCAAGGTACTGTTTCAACCTTTGCCCATTCACTTTGAACTTATTTGTTCCATCTTCGGATTTAATTTCTACAGATCCACTTGAGAACACTTGCACCACTCTGAAGGGTCCTGACCATCAGGACTTCAATTTACTCGGAAACAGTCTTAATCTCGAGTTGTATAACAACACTAGATCTCCGGGTTTGAAGTTCCGATCTAGGATATGCTTATCATGCATCATTTTCATCCTTTCTTTGTACAATCTTGCATTCTCAAATGCATGGAACCCGAATTCCTTGAGTTCATGTAACCCAGTGATTCGACTGGTGCCAACGGTCTCCATATCCAAATTCAACTGCCGCAGTGCCCAAAGGGCTTTATGCTCGAGCTCTACCGGGAGGTGACATGCTTTTCCAAACACCAACTTGTATGGTGACATACCAATTGGCATTTTAAATGTTGTGCGGTACGAAGGCATCATCCAACTTCTTCGCCCAATCAGTCCTTGTCGCATTCACTGTCTTGGTTATGACACTTTTAATTTCCCGGTTTGACACTTCAACTTGCCCGCTTGACTGTGGGTGATAAGGGGTGGTCACCTTATGGCGAACTCCATACTTTTCCAACAACCGAGCGAACGCTCTATTGCAAAAATGGGTTCCACCATCGCTGATTATAGCTCTCGGGGTGCCAAAATGTGTAAAGATGTTCTTCTTTAGAAAGCCTGTCACCCCCTTTGCGTCATTGGTTGGGAGAGCCACAGCTTCAACCCATTTGGAGACATAGTCAACTGCCACCAGTATGTATTTGTTACCATATGAGCTGACGAATGGCCCCATAAAGTCAATACCCCACATGTCAAATACCTCCACCTCTTGAATAATAGTCATCGGCATCTCGTGATGTCGATATATGTTGCCGGTCCTTTGGCACTCATCGCAGCTTTTCACCCAAGCATGGGCATCCTTGAACAGGGTTGGCCAATACAAACCCGATTCCAACACCTTAGCCGTTGTCCTAATCCCTCCAAAGTGTCCACCATATGGTGAAGCGTGGCAAGCCTGCAAAACAGAAGGTTGATCTTTCTCGGGGATACACCTCCGGATCATGTTATCTACACATATTTTAAAAAAGTATAGGTTCATCCCAATAATAAAACCGACAATCACGAAAGAACTTTTTCTTTTGAATTGAAGAGAGTTCATAAAGTACAATACCGCTTGCTAAATAATTAGCAATATCAGCATACCATGGTGTCTCCTCCATTGTCACTGCTAGTAACTGTTTATCCGGGAATGTCTCAGTTATATCTTCAACCTCTATCTTCTTTTCAGCTCCTTCCAACCTTGAGAGGTGGTCTGCTACCTGGTTCTCAGTCCTTTTTCTGTCACGGATCTCCAAATCGAATTCTTGTAGCAAAAGAACCCAGCGGATTAAGCGTGGCTTTGACTCCTTCTTTGCTATCAAGTACCTAATTGATGCATGGTCAGTATAAACAATAACTTTTGAACCAATCAAGTACGACCTGAATTTGTCGAATGCAAAAATTACAGCCAACATCTCCTTTTCCGCCACGGTGTAATTGAGATGTGCACCGCTTAGCGTTCTGCTTGCATAATAATTGGGTGCATCAGCTTATCCTTTCGCTGCCCCAAGACTGCTCTTATCGCATAGTCACTTGCGTCGCACATGAGCTCGAACGGTTGCTCCTAGTTGGGTGCAACAATGATGGGTGAAGTCACCAATTTCTTCTTCATCTCCTCAAATGCTAACCTGCAATCATTAGAAAACACAAAGGGCTGATCCTTTTTAAGGAGTTTGCATAAAGGGTTAGCAATCTTAGAGAAATCTTTTATGAATCGCCTGTAGAATCCGGCGTGCCCAAGGAAACTTCTCACTGTCTTTACCGAAGTAGGGGGTGGCAACTTCTCAATCACGTTAACCTTGGCATGGTCAACCTCAATTCCTTTACTAGACACTCGATGCCCCAAGACTATCCCTTCTTGTACCACAAAATGGCACTTCTCCGAATACAGCACTAAATTTGTCTCCACACATCTTTTAAGCACTCTTCTGAAATTGTGAAGACAATCCTCGAATGAACTCCCCACCACGGAGAAATCATCCATAAATACCTCCATAATGTCTTCAACCATGTCCATGAAAATGGCTAACATACATCGCTGGAATGTAGCCGATGCATTGCAAAGTCAAAAAGGCATTCTCCGAAAGGCAAAGATGCCATACAGACAGGTGAATGATGTTTTCTCTCTGTCTTCGGGGGCTATTGAGGTCTGATTGTACCCCGAATATCCATCCAAGAAACAGAAGTGAGATCGCCCAGCCAACCTGTCCAGCATTTGGTCAATAAATGGCAAGGGCAAATGGTCTTTCTGGGTGGCTGTGTTCAATTCCGATAATCCATACAAATCCGCCATCCCGTGGCTGTACGAGTCGAGATCAACTCGTTCTTCTCATTTTGCACGACCGTCATTCCTCCCTTCTTCGGCACACACTGAACAGGGCTGACCCAATTGTTGTCAGAGATGGGGAAGATGATACTCGCGTCTAACCATTTGATCACTTCCTTCTTCACCGCCTCTTTCATATTCGGGTTCAGCCTTCGTTGATATTCTCTGGAAGGTTTGTGCCCTTATTCATAGAGAATCTTGTGCATACAAAAAGCTGGGTTGATACCCTTTATGTCTGCCATAGTCCAACCAATAGCAGTCTTACATTCTTGTAACACCTGTAGGAGTTGCTCTACCTGCACAGCTAACAAACCGGATGATATAATAGCAGGTAAAGTAGAATTAGGCCCTAAGAAAGCGTACATGAGATGTGCTGGAAGCGGTTTCAGGTCCAACTGTGGTGGCTCCTCTATCGATGGTTTTGCCGGTGGTGTTGTCCTTTCTTCTAAGTGTAGGGGCTCGAACTCGGTTTCCCTTTTTAAGAACCCTTGACCTTCAAGATCCATGACACACTCTTCCAACTCCTCACCATCCACATTTTCCAAATTCATCAAGCAGGCTTCCAACGGATCCCTAACATTAATAGTCTCATCCTCCTCTTGTAAGTATCACATCTACGGCCTCCACTAGTGAGCAATTTTCAAATTCGCTGGGTCTCCTCATAGATTGTTGAACATTGAATATTATCTCTTCGTTGTTCAACCTCATTTTCAATTCTCTAGTCTCACAATCAATCAATGCTCTCCCAGTGGCTAAAAACGGCCTGCCTAGAATGATTGATATCTCCTCATCCACTTGACAGTCAAGAATGATGAAGTCTGCAGGAAATACAAATCTCCCCACTTGAACAAGCACATCATCAAGAATTCATGTCGGTCTTTTGACTGTGCGATCAGCCAGTTGCAGCAACATTGAGGTCGGTCTAGCTCTGCCAATGCCCAGTTTTGTATAGATTGCCAAGGGCATCAAGTTTATACTGGCCCCCAAGTCACACAATGCTTTAGCAAAAGCATAACTCCCAATGGTGCATGGAATAGTGAAACAACCTGGATCAAACACATTTCGAGCCAAAGGCCTTGTCACTAGCACGTTGCAGGTCTGCCTTAGAGTTACAGTGGACAGGTCCTGGAAGTCAACTTTTCGCGACATCAGGTCCTTCATCATTTTTGCATACCCTGGCATCTCCCTCAAAGCATCCATCAGTGGAATATTCAATTGAATTTGTCTGAGTATTTCCATGAATTTCCTGTATTGATCATCTTTCTTTTGCTTTGCCAACCTCTGAGGGAATGGTGCAGGAATCAACCTTTGCCTACTGCTTTGTGTCTTTTCTTTGCTGGAAGCTTTTTCTACTACCTGTTGTGGAAGTTGTTCACCTTCCTTCTCCTTACCCTTGTCAACCTGTGCTTGCTCAATTACAACCTCGGTGAGCTCTGCTGACTCATCTGTCTCTAATGTAACTGGGGTAGCTGGAGTAGTCGGTGTTGTCTCTCTCCTAGATTGAGCAACTTCTTGCTCCCTGTCTAAATCTCTCCCATTCCTGAGACTCACTGCCATGAGCTGATTTGGGTTCTGCTCCTTTGGATTAATGTTTGTATCTGCAGGCAATGTTCGTTGTGGGTGATTATTCAAGGCCATAGATAGCTGTCCCAATTGAGTTTCAATGCCTTTGATTGCTGAATCATGTGCAGCTAACTTCTCTTGCATCTTTCCATTTGTCCCAATGAGTTGTTGCAGCATACCCCTGATTTCAATCATGTTACTATCTTGCTGCTGATGAGGTGGTTGGTAGGTCAACTGTTGCTGGTGCTGCTGATTATAGCCCTGCTGTCTTTGATAAGGCACGACTTGGCCTTATGGTCGTGCTCCTCCTAGATTGGGGTTGTGCTGAGGCCGGTTTGGTCTATACTGCTGGTTTGATGTTGGTCCCCTTTGCTGCCCACCTCGCCTCTGACCTCCGAAATTATTGACATAATTCATGTCTTCTCTAAAACCCTGGTTGTCATTCTCTCCACTCCACGAAAACACATATGATTGTTTTATGCAAGGAGTGCATAAATCTCCATTTGTGGTATCAACAATGTGCACCTGTTTCGCACCCATCTCATTGATTTTCTTTGTCAGCAAGCTCATCTAGGTCATAAGAGTGGCTATGTTTTCTGCATTTGTGTTGTTTGGGTCAAGAGTGACAGAATGCACTATTGGAGTAAGTGTTGTGTCTCTCGTCATCCAGCCTGAATTTTGAGATATCTTGTCAAGAAAAATCTTACACTCTATGAAGGTTTTGCTCAAGAATGCACCCCCAGCAGAAGCATCTACATTGGCCTTCAGACTGTCAGCCAAACCCATATAGAATCTCTGTCCCAGCATCTGATGCGGAATGTCATGGTGAGGACACTTCACCAACATACCCTTAAACCTCTCCCAGGTCTCTTGCAAAGTCTCAGCCAGTTTCTGCCTAAATTGCAATATCTCATCAATCTGCTTCGCAGTTTTGTTGGGTGGACAAAACTTGTTTAAGAACTGCTTGACTAGTTCTCCCAAGTAGCAATGGAGTTTATTGGGAGCGAATTCAACCAAGTTTGAGCCTCACCGGTCACTGAGAATGGGAACAGTAATAATTTGATTGCCTCAGGAGTGACATTCGACTGTCTTTGAGTGGCACATATTGAGAGAAAGTTCTTCAGATGTTGTTGTGGGTCTTCGATGTATGACCCAGAGAACAGCCCTTTATTCTGTAACAGGTGCACCATGTTGTTGGTAATCAGGAATGTCTCCACTTGTCTGGGAGGAATCGCAATTGCTGTGGCCAGGTTATCAGCAGTTGGTTGCGCCCAATCATAAAGAGCAGCTTCCGGCACAAGAGGTGAACCACAATGATGTTTGGGTCATCTCGATCATTCCTGTTGTTCCCGTTGACGTTGTTTACGTCATCCATTTCAATTTCGATTTGTTCGTTTTGTTTCATCTATTTGCACTTCTTGTTAGCCCGGTTCAATGTCCGGAATGCTTTCTCGGGATCTGAGAGTCCTTCGAAGAGTTCACCAGTTCTCAAAGAGCTTCTAGGCATGCACCTGAGTCACAGAAGAGTTCAAACGTGAGAATTTCAATGGAAATATTTTTAACACCACAGAAATTTGATCTAAACTAGAAATCCTAGCAATTCTTCCAAGTTGCAATAGATAACATCGTCAGTTCCCCGGCAACGGCGCCAAAATTTGATCACGCCCAACTACGCCTTATAAAAAGGACTCAGCAGTCGCTGCAAATATATAGTCCTGTTCAGTCCGGAGTCGAATCCCATAGGGAACTAACCTATTTACTACAACTTTTACCACTGCTAATAATAAGCTCAAACAATTTCCAGATGCAAGATTTTTTATGTATTATGAGTAGAATTTAGTTAACTAAGGAAAAATGACAATAAAACTAGCAATAATCTAGAATATAGTTGAATTCAATGGGAAAATGGTCTAGGGTTATTGATTTCCCCAATTGTCGGATTAATTCCTAACACGTTAGCTAAACTTTCGCCATAATACTCAATAAGAATATGAGTTCTGGGTTACCACAATTATCTCTCGATCAATTACGATAATTTACTAGAAGCATTATCTCGAACTACTCTAGTTAACAATTTATACGACTCAGAGTTATCCCACCAAAGCTTCGTTATCTCTAACCCTGCTTTTAAATTCAAGTAATTAATCTATTAACTTACCCGAAAGTGGTGTTGTTCAACAACAATCTAACCAAGTGTTCTTTCTCAAGCAACACAAGATAACTAGACACGATTAATCAAGGGCCCTTTCAATTAATCACAAGACAACATGTAGTTGAACAATCAAAAAGTAAAAATGGCTCAATTATATCAAAACATAGTCAAGACTTCATCCAACAATAGGTTCCATCAACCCTAGATGACGGGTTTTGCTACTCATACTAAGAGATGAAAATTCACTAAATCAGTAGAACACACCTCCATATTGGCCTACTAATGAACCCCTTATCAAGGAGTTCCTGAAGTTGCTCCTTCAACTCCTTAAACTTCGCCGGTGCCATATGATACGGTGCCCGGCACCAAATCAATACAGACATCGACAACCCTATCCGGCGACGTGCCTGGCAGCAAGAAACACATTCGGAAAATCCCTCACCACCGGAACTAAATCATGGTAGGAGTCTCTGCACGGCCATCCATCACGAAGGCCAAATAAGAAAGACAACCCAACCCAGCCATCCGCTGGGTCTTCAAAAATGAAACCACCTTACTAGGAACATAATCCGTCGAATCTCCCCACTCAATCCGTGGCATTCCCTGCATAGCCAACGTCGTCCTCTTAGCGCAACAGCCCAGAATAACACAACACTGAGACAACCAGTCTATACTTAATATCACATCCCACACCTAACATACCCAAGCAACAAAGGATCCACTCGGGTCTCCAAGTCCATAAAACACACGAATCACCATATCCGATCCCATTTACTCCATCCGAATACATACCACACCTCTAATACCCACTGTCACGACCCTTAACCCAGACTCGATCGTGATGGCGCCTCTCGTGAAGGCAAGGCCAGCCGACACAAACCCCAAGTTTAATTAACAGATATAATGATTCATAATCAAGTCATTAATGATGATAAATCCCAAAATAAAGCAAAATATATCAACTCCGAAAAACAAAACCCAGCCCGACATCGGGGTGTCACAAGTCACGAGCATCTACTAAGGTCTGAATACAGCTAAGAGTCTAAAAATGTACTAAATACAGTCTAAGGAAGACAAGAGGGAGAAAAGCAGTGCTGCGAACGCCGGGCAGCTACCTCGCTAACTTCGATGACTCTGCCACTGAGCAACCAACACCCGCTACCGGGTTCAAAATAATACCTGAATCTGCACACAAGGTGCAGGGAGTAATGTGAGTACGCCAACTCCGTAAGTAATAAAAGTAAATGAAAGCTGAGCAGTAAGAAAACACGTAAGCCACGTAATAAAGTACATTTCCAAAACAGTACAGAAATCATTTACTTCGTAAATCAAGCTCAGTTTCAGTAAAACCTTTTAACAAAACTTTCAATAGTTTCAAACGAGAGATAAAAACAGTGAGTAAAAATGATAGAAACGTAAATAGCCCCTCGGGTATAATATCAATAGAACCAGCCCCTCGGGCTACCTCACAATCACTCGTAATCAGCCCATCGGGCATAACATGAATCAAGAACCGCCCCTCGGGCAACATGGGTCAAGAACAGCCCCTCGGGCTCCAATATGAAACAACAACAGCCCCTCGGGCTACAACACATCACACACACTAGGTACTCGCGCTCACTGGGGGTGTACAGACTCCGGGAGGGGCCCCTTACGACCCAAGCGCAATAACAAGCCATCTCGTGGCATAATCAATCCGGCCCTCGGCCTCACATAATAAACAGGATCATTACACTGGGTACCCGTGCTCACAGGGGGTGTACAGACTCCTGGAGGGGCCCCTTATCAATCACAAGCCACCTCGTGGCATAATAAACTCGGCCTATCATATATCACCAATTGGTACCACATGCTGCGGCGCGCAGCCCGATCCCATGATAACCTCACAACACAGGCCCTCGGCCTTACTCAGTCAGATCTAACTCAAGCCCCTCGGGTCGACAGTAAAACAAGTACTCGGGTCAAAAATCATTTTATGAAATCAAAGGAGTGAATAAAATCGAGTTATGAAAACCATAAGAAAATAACATGACTGAATGTAAACATTAGCTAAAACAGAGAGGTAAAATTAGTAGTAAAAGCCCCTAAGGGTCCAAACAATCGGCCCAAGGCCCAGACACGGCATTTAGCCCCAAACGCAATAATATTTCTAAAATATAACAATATCAAATAGTTCTCAAGTAAAATACGCGACTTAATAGTCGTACGGGATGGACAAAGTCACAATTCCCTACGGTGCAAGACCCCACGCTCGTCATCTAGCGTGTGTGTCACCTCAAGGTAGCACAACGATGTGAAATGCGGGGTTTCATACCCTCATAACAGTATTTACAATCAATACTTACCTTTATCCGGTCCAAACTCTAGCCGCAATGCCTTTGCTTCTCGAATCGGCCTCCGAATGCTCCAAATCTAGCCAAAAGCAGATTCATACCATCAAAATATGCTAAGCGAACAAAGTCCACTCGAAAATATCCAATTTATACCTAAAATCCCGAAAATTGGCCAAACCTGGCCCCCGGGCCCACGTCTCCGAATCCGACGAAACTCACAAAATCCGACAACCCATTCAACCACGAGTCTAACCATACCAAAATTACAAAATTCTGATAATATCTCGACCCTCAAATCCTCAAATCTATCCAAGAGGGTTATCAAACTTTTCCAACATAAAATCACCAATTAAATGTTAAAATCAATGATGGATTTGAGTAATCTAACCAAAATTGAGTTAAAAACACTTACCCCATTGTTTTCTTTGAAAATCCCTCAAAAAATCGCCCCACCCGAGCTTCATTGGTCCAAAAATGGAAGAATGGGACGAATTTGGACTTCATTATGCTGCCCAGGGGTTTGTTCTTCGCGTTCGCGACCCTTCTCTCGCGTTCGCGATGAACAAATTCCTCATCAGCGATTTCCAAACTCATTCATAACAACCTTTAGTATAATTGTCATAACTTTTTGCACACAACTCCAAATTACAAATTGTTTGATGTTATGAAACCTTGACACCAAGGGCTATAATTCCATAGGTTGCTCATTT